ACAGAAACTGAAATATAATAATGTACACCTGAAATTTACATAATGTTATAAGCCAATATAACCTCAATAAAATAATTTTAAAAAATAAAAAAAAATAAAAAATAAATAAATAAAAAAGGCTTTGAACTTGAAAAAATGTGTTGAAAACATGTCTTAGCATAAACAGAAATATAGTGGTCCACTTTTAAATTATAATATTCTCTTAATATCTTTGCTTAAGAGACTTGGTTCTATTATATCATTATTATCATAAAGAGCATCTGATTGGGTCTTAAAAAAGGAAATACAAAAAAAAAAAAAGGAAATCTTGCCATTGTGACAACATGGGTGAAACTGGAGGACATTCGACTGAATGAAATAAGCCAGACACAGAAGAACAAATACTACATGATATCACTTATATGAGGAATCTAAAATAGTCAAACTCATAGAAGCAGAGAAGAGCGGTGGTTGCCAGGGGCTGGAGAAACTGGGAAATGGGGAGATATTAGTCAAAGGGTATAGAGTTTTAGTTAAACAAGATGAATGTGTCCTAGAGATCTTCCGTACAGCATATACTGCCTACTATTAACAATACGGTATTGTACACTTAAAACTTTGCTAAGAGGATAGATCTTATGTTGAGCGTTTTTATCAGAAAAAATATAGGAATAAATAAGAGAATGAGAGGAAACTTTTGGAGATGATGGATAGGTTTATAGCATTGATTATGGTGATGGAAATAAATGAAAAGCCATAAAACTAATAAGAAAAGTTAATATATTGAGGTATATGAGGAAGCCATTTTCATTTAAAATTGATTCAGCCTGAACTTGTTTTTCCAGAATGCCCTGACTTATGACCCGTCAAGCATGCCCTTGTACATCAGCTTTCAACATTAAACAGTATCCCAAAGTGAAAAATGTTGCCTTTAAAGATAGGGATGAATGCCTCCCTCCCATATCAGCATTTCTTTGAAGATAAGCATTCCTTCCCAGAAACCAGGGTCAGATTGACCTGCTATGCACGTTGCTGAATTGCAGCAAACATCTTGTGACTGTAGTATTAAAAAAAAAAAATGTATTCCTGTCATGTTTGATATACGTTCTTTGTTCTGAAATGGTATATGACAATGCTGTACACCTCGCTCCTCGAGAGCATGCACTTCCCTGGTGGAGCACGCACTTCCAGGCTATAGTTCTCAGCTTGGCTCATATAATAAACTCATCTCATTTTTAATCTATAGATTGATTATTGGTTATTTGCATCAACAGTGGTGATGGAATCATAGGTGTATACTTATCTCTAAACTCATCAAGTTGTATACATTATGTACAGCTTTTTGTATGTCAAAAAATAATAAAATAAAAAGAACAACTCAGCAACAGATTCACTAAAATTAAAATTGCATCCAGTGTATTCCCTAGCAGCCATGAGAACCATTTTAAATAACCTCCTCTAACAAGTAACTGAATTCATCCCATCAGTCATTTTGTCAGTCAATTTGTCTGCCAAACCATTGCTCAAAAACTAGGTATTGCAGGAGAGCACAGCGTTGTTTCCACAGCTAATGTTCTAGGGCAATTGCACGGATTCAGCTAAATTAAACATTTAAAGGGCTTTTCCAAGATGAAATGAACAAACGTCAATACATTTGAAAATTTATGATGAGGGTTAAAAAAAATTAAAGCCATCATCCCTCACTTCACATTCAAAATGAAAGAATAATAGAAAGATGATTTATTAGTAAGTTTAAAAGTTAACTGCTATTTGCAAAAAGAGCCATCTTTGAAAAGTGCTCATAACACAGCCTATCCTTCCTTCCACCTCTTGACCCCAGTGTTCTCTCTCCCTTTCTTATGCAACTCCTCTTGCTCCCCTTCCTGTTTCTCTCTTATAATTCTTATTTGTCTCTCTTTCTCAGCATCATCAATTTCCCTCTGGTACTGGGCTCTTGGTTTCTCATTATTATCCTAATTTTCTCTTATGTATCTTTTTCCTCCTTTCCCTCAACTGCTCATAGATGGAATTTTGTAATGAGGCAATATGTCTTAGACTTAAAAGCTACATAATGCTATGTTATTGATAAATGTATTCTTATATTTGTGTATTATTGGATAGCTTATCAGGTATCTAATTCCTATATTTCAAAATTATAAACGTTTTATAAGACTTGATATAACTTTAAAGTTTATTATATCAGATTTATTATATGTATGAGTAGTGTATTCCATGGCATTCATTGCTTCTTTTCTTTATATTATCTTATATACTAAAATTTTCAGTCTCCTGATACATACATTTATTTTTAAGAACATAACTTAAGAATATTTTAGAAAGGTTGTATCATCCTGAACAATATTTCTGTAAGTAGGAAATTCCACTATTATGATAATAACCTATATGGTCATATTTTCCCCTCATCAGATACTAACATTTTAACTCATGATTTTTTTTAACATTGAAATACGAAGTAGAGCTTTCCTAGCCCACTGGATTTCTGCAAAACATAATGGCTACTGCTGTTACTATCTGGCATTTGCAACCATGCAGAAGTTATAAGTCTCTACCTAATTCAAGTCTGTTGAGTCTGATGATGCCCACGTACTTTTATTCATTGCTATTGCCATACAAAGCTAGTTATGATCTAATTTCCATTTCACCCCATTTTCACTGTTGTGACTTTTTATTGTGAATAACTCTACTTGTTAAACATGTTTATAAAACTCAAGTCTCAAGAAGAATTCTCCTATATATTGTAGCTGTTTAAAGGCCAATTACCTAGCATGTATCCAATAACTCAGGCTTTGTCTTTGAGAAAGAAGGTGCATTTGTGCTTGTCAGCTTGTTCTAAAAGGTGGAGAAGTTAAAAATACCAACAGACATTTCTCTTAAATTCTTTTCAATGGATCCTCAGGCTCCACTAGTGATTAACTTTTCATTTTTGTTATAGATTTATTTCTCCTTACCCTCCTTTATAAGAATAAAGGATATTACAAAAGGGCTTATTCATTTTAATTTGTAAATTATATTCATCCTCATTGAATATATATCATCACTGAGATGCCCTCAAAATTAATCCAATCCGACACAAAAGAAAGCTCTATTTTCCTTGAAATTTCATTTTATTTCCTGTCATACTCATTTTAACAAATCCACATTCGCCAATTAAAGAAAAGCATCAACATTTTTCCTATAAAAGCATTGACTTGAAATCTAGCGACAAATATTTCACTTAGTTTTTAAAAATTCTATTCAGTTCTCTAATGTGACTTACAACTTGGTCCATGCTGAGCAGTTGGACCTTTATTTCAGAATTTTTTTAGTATTCATGATAACTTCCTGTTCCAGGTACACAGATACCTGCTCATGGTCTCACTGCAGCCTGGCCTGATTCTAGGTGCCAACTACCCCCCAAACCCCCCCAACCCCTCCTCGAGCTGCTTCTCAGGTGTTTTGGTTTAAAGTGAGCCATATAAGGAGGAATACTCTTTCCTCATAAAAGCAGCATGATAACCATATTTTTATTACAGTGTAGGAGAAGGTAACAAGTGTTCTCCAGAAACATTAAGTCAGGTACTTACAATTTTGTTTGATACCTATTGAATCACTATGCACTTACCTGGATAATATCGGGCCAGGCCTGTGGCACTGCCAAACACCTGCCACAACAATGAAGGATCTTCCTCTCGATTTTTTTTGAAAACTTCATCTAAGGCACTTGTCCAGTTGAGCTCATTTAACACAATTGTTGCTAAAAAAAAAAAAAAAAGGAAAAATTAATTCAAATGTATAATTAATAATTGAATCTGTCTTCATTTATTTGCAAAATAATGTCACACATTTTCATTGCTTTACCTACAAAAGTACTCTAATCCAGTGGCTATCCAAAAGTTTAGATTTAGAATTATTTCTTCAAACAAATTTTTATATTACAGTGGCCTTATTGACAGTTTGGGCTGGGTAATTCTTTGTTGTGGGAGCTGTTCTGTGCTTTGTAGAATGTTTAGCAGTATCTCTAGCCTCTACCCACTAGATGCCAGTAGCACTCTCCCAGATGTGACAAGCAAAACTGTCTCCAGACATTGTCAGATGACTCCTGTGGGGCAAAATTGCTCCCTGTTGAGACCCTCTGTGATACATAAAACAGACAATAGCAGAGCTCTCCTGTTTGAGAAGTGGGAGGCATGCCTCCCCTTGAGGCAATTCTGAAGAAACCTACGGGCCACCTCAGGGTGCAGTTTGATGACCACCTCTTTCAACTATTGATGATTCTCTGTGATATACTTACATCATTTGGTTTGTTACCTGAGTTAAAAAAAATAGATATTTGTCATTGAACATAGTTTATTAACTGTTTACACAAAAACAACAACAAATGTGTACATTTTGACAGAGAAAAAATTCATTCATAGGCTTGACAATATCAGTGTTAGAAACAGGAAGTAGCTGATACTTTATTACTACCTTTATGAACAATAGTTTTCTTTTTTTTTTTGGTTAGCTTAATATTTAGAGCATGATACAAATAAGGGCCAAGTCATTGATTTTCATTCCTACTTACAACTACTGACTGATCTTGAATAGGGATTAAAAATATATGCCACTCATTACAATGAAACAGAAGCAGTTATAACAAAGGGATAAAACATAGGTTAAGGAGTGACATCAGCAACATGGTAGAGTGAGCTGTTCCCTTTGTCTCTCCCCCTTTGAACTACAACTAAATGGACATTCCATGACCAACAGAGGATACCCATGCAGCACAACAGGACGCCTGAGAGACCCATGCAGCTATACATCGGAAGGTGGATGGACTGGGTCCCCAGGACATATAGGAGATAGGTGATCACTCCCCTATCCTTTCCCAGCAGCCTGGTGAGCAAGCGCAAATGCATTCCCAGGAAGTGGGAGTGTCCATAGCGCTGCTGAGGCCCTGCAAGTGGGAAAGTGCCCCGGTGCAACTATAAGAAGAGGTGGTGGCAGCCCTGAGCCCACACGTGAACACTTTCTCGACCAGCAGGAGTTCCCAACGTGCCACTGCAGTCCTAACAAGTGGCCCTGGCTCAGACCCCACAAAAAAGCCCTGCCCACCAAGCACAGCAGCCAGTGTGACCATAAGAAGAGGTGGTGGCAAATCTGTGCACAGTCGAATGCTTTCCCGGCCAGCAGGAGCACCCATAGTGCCGCTATGGCCCCACAAGTGGGAACGTCCCTTGGCGCAACTGCAAGAAGAGGCAGTGGCAGCCCTGAACCGGCGAGTGAATGCTTTCCTGGCTGGCAGGAGCACCCACCATACCCTCACAACTTACAGCAGGTGGGGTGGGATCAGAAACACAGTTCCCGCTTATCCCCGGTGGTAGCAGGTGGAATCTGCAACCAGATACAACTGCAAAGGTGCCAGCAAAAGAGTTAGTTCACCAAACACCACAAGAAACTACAGCAACAATTCAAAGCAGAAGGAAAATGACGTCTGCAGAAATCAACCTTGAAGTGACAGAAATTTACAATCTAAATGACAGAGAATTCAAAATAGCTGTTATAAAGAAACTCAATGAGTTACAAGAAAACTCAGACAGACAGTTGAATGAGCCCAGGAATAAAATTAATAATAAGAAGGAATACTTCACCAAAGAGATTGAAACTATTAAAAAAAAAAAAGCAGAAATTCTAGATATGAAGAAAACAATTAATGAGATAAGAAATCATCTAGAATCCTTAAAAAATAGTTGAAGGTATGGAGAAAAGAATTAGTGATTTAGAGGGTATAAATATGGAAATGCTTCAGATGGAGGAGGAGAGAGAACTAAGATTTTTAAAAAATGAAGGAATTCTTCAAGAAATATCTGACTCAATTATGAAAAGCAACACAAGGATTATAGGTATTCCAGAGAGAAAAGGGAAGGAGAAAGGAGCGGAGAGCTTGTTCAAAGAAACAATAGCTGAGAGCTTCCCAAACATGGGGAAGGAACTGGACTTAGAAATATGTGAAACCAATAGAACTCCTAATTACATAAATGCAAAAAGACCTTCTCCAGGCATATAAAAGTAAGACTGGCAAAAGTTAATGACAAAGAAGAAATATTAAGGGCACTAAGGCAGAAGAAAATAACCTACAAAGGAACCCCTATCATGCTATCAGTGGATTTCTCGGCAGAAATCTTATAGGCTAGGAGAGAATGGAATGATATATTCAAAATTCTGAAAGACAAAAACTTTCAGCCAAGAATACTCTATCCAGAAAAACTATCCTTCAGATTGGATAGAGAAATAAAAGCTTTCTCAGATAAACAAAAGCTGAGGGAGTTCATCACCACTAGATCTCCCCTGTAAGAAATGATCCAGGATGCCCTCATACCTGAAACAAAAAGGCAAAGGTCTACAAAGCTCTGATCAAGGAGATAAATAGAGAGACAAAATCAGAGAACTGCAGCTCTCTTTCAGAATAGGGTAACAAACACTTAATTATAACTTAAAAGATAAAGGGAGGGAAAGCATCAAATGTAACTATAAACAATTCAAGTTAGTCACAAACACAGAACACAAAACAGAATAATTTGTAACAACAATAACTCAGAAGGAGAGGAGTATAGGGATGGAACCTACTTAGGCTAATGGAGATAGGCTAACAGAAAATGGACTATATCATCTATGCGATATTTTATACAAACCTCAGAGTAACCACTAAACAAAAATCAGAGCAGAGCCACAATTTATTAAAAATGAGAAAACCACAACAGAAAACCACCAAAATGAAGTGGCAGTCAGAAATCCAAAGGAAGAGAAACAGAAACATAGAACAACCAGAAAACAAGAGATAAAATGTCAGTATTAAACCCTCATATACCAATAATCACTCTAAATGTAAATGGATTGAATTCTCCAATCAAAAGAAACAGGGCACCTGAATGGATTAAAATACAAGAAGCAACAATATGCTGCCTCCAGGAAACACATCTCAGCTCTAAAGAAAAACAGAGGCTCAGAGTGAAGGGATGGAAGACAATACTCCAAGCTGATGGCAAGCAAAAGAAAGCAGGTGTTGCCATGCTTAGATCAGACAAGTAGACTTCAAGATAAAACAGGCAATGAGAGACAAAGAAGAGCAGTATATAATAACAAAAGAGATACTCCAACAAGAAGACATAACAGTTATAAATATATATGCATCCAACATAGGAGCACCAAAGTACATAAAACAACTATTAACAAACCTAAAAGGAGATATTAATGACAACACAATAATAGTAGGGGAACTTAACACCCCACTTACATCAATGGATAGATCATCCAGACAAAAAATCAACAACAAAATAGCAGGATTAAATGAAAAACTAGACCAGATGGACTTAATAGATATATATAGAACATTAAATCCAAAAGCAGAAGAATACACATTCTTCTCAAGTGTACATGGAACATTCTCAAAGATAGACCATATTTTGGGAAACAAGGCAAGCCTCAATAAATTTAAGAAGATTGAAATAATATCAAGTATCTTTTCCAACCATAATGCTACAAAACTAGAAATCAACTACAAGAAAAAAGCTGGGAAAGTCACAAACATGTGTAGACTAAACAACATGCTACTAAGCAACCAATGGATCATTAAAGAAATTAAAGGAGAAATCAAAAAATATCTGGAGACAAATGAAAATGAAAATATACCATACTAACTCACATAGGATGCAGCAAAAGCGGTCCTAAGAGAGAAATTCATAGGAATAGAGGCCCACTTTAACAAACAAGAAAATGCTTAAATAAGCAATCTTAAACTCCACCCAACAGAATTAGAAAAAGAAGAAGAAACAAAGCCCAAAGTTAGCAGAATGAGGGAAATAATAAAAATTAGAACAGAAATAAGTGAAATTGAAACCAAAAAAACCATAGAAAAGATCAACGAAACTAAGAGATAGTTCTTTGAGAAGATAAACAAAATTGACAAACCGTTAGCCAGACTCACTAAGAAAAAAAGAGAGAAGCCTCAGATAAATAAAATTAGAAATGAAAGAGGAGAAATTACAACAAATACCACAGAAATACAAACAATTACAACAGAATACTATGAAAAACTATATACCAACAAACTGGACAATCCAAAAGAAATGGATAAATTCTTAGACCCATACAACCTCCCAAAACTGAATCAAGAAGAAATAGAGAATCTGAATAGACAAGTCACATGTAAAGAGATTGAAACAGTAATCAAAAATCTCCCAAAAAATAAAAGTCCAAGACTAGATGGCTTCTCTGGAGAATTCTACCAAACATTCAAAGATTTAATACATATCCTTCTCAAACTATTACAAAAAATTGAAGAGACAGAACACTCCTAACACATCCTACAAGGCCATCATCACCTTGATTCCAAAACCAGGCAAGGACAGCACAAAGAAGGAAAACTACAGGTCAATATCATTGATGAACATCAATGAAAAATCCTCAACAAAATATTGGCAAACTGAATACAGCAATACATTAAAAGGATCATACACCATGATCAAGTGTGATTTACACCAGGGACACAGGGATGGTTCATATCTGCAAATTAATCAATGTGATACGCCACATGAACAAAATAAGGAATAAAAACCACATGATCATCAATAGATGCAGAGAAAGTAATTGACAAGATCCAACATCAATTTATGACAAAAACTCTCAATAAAATACGTACAGAAGGAAAGTACCTCAACATAATAAAGGCTATATATTACAAACCCACAGCCAACATTATACTCAATAGGGAAAAAA